CAGAGGGGCCGGGCAGGACCGAGCTTGAGTTTGCATGTCTCTGCTCGTCTCCCCATACCTCGTGGCACCCTTGGAGCCTCGTGGCAGCGCCCCAGGGTGCCCTGGCTCCCCCGCTGAAAACCACCGCTCTATTTACGGAGGTCGCTGCTTGTCGGCCCTGCCAGAGCCAGCCCAGACGTGGTGCTCCTAAAAAACACCAGGGACAAACCCTCCCACACGGCTGCCCGACATCCCGCACCCTTTCACCCATGCCCTGCCACCCCGTCCGCGCTGAGCCTGACCCAAACGTGGCGATGGCTCCAACTGAGCAAAGGGGCAAGAGCCGCTCGCCAGGACGCTGCGGTGCTCCTAAGTCCCAGCAGGAGCAGGGGGGCACCCGCCCCAGTCCCCCCCGCCCGGTGGCAGCTTGCACCAGAGGAAGGTGCATAAAAGCCCCGGTGCACGGAGCTGCAGGAGGGGGGGAAGCTCCTTCTCGGCCCCCGCTGCAGTGAGCCACGAAGCTCTGGAAAGCCAGACACCTCCGCTCTGCCTGGAGGGCCGCCGGCCATTACCAGCCCTGGCTGGGCTGAGCTCATCCGTCCATCACTCGCCTTCTCTCCAGCCAGCCCCTCCACCCCATAGTCTCTCCAGCCCGAAAAGCCTGGAGCTGGAGCAGGCGCCGGTCTCCTGTAGCCCTGAGGGAGAGGCAGGGTCCGAGCCTGGCCTTGCCCCTGGGCTGGGTGGGGAGGGGAAGGCCTGATCCTCAGCTGCTGCCCTCCTCACACATCCCCCGCCTGCACACCTGCATGTACACCTATGCACACACACGCACGCAGCCTCACGCGTGCACCCCCGCCCTCCCCACACATGCATGCATATGCACACATGTATCAATGACATGCACACACCCTCACCCCCAACTCTCACACACACATGTACTCATGCACAGACTCACACGGGTGCACCCCCCCCGCTGCCCCCTCACACACATCCCCCTCCTGCACACCTGTATGTTCACATAGGTGCACAGATGCACACAGCCTCACGCATGCAGCCCCCCCGTCCTCCCCACACGTGCGTCTATGCATACGTGCACACACCCTCACCCCCAACACGCACACATAGACATGCACGCATGCA